TTTAATTCTTTATAATAAGGGGAACAGGAAGGGCAGAGATAACAGGTTCGGCCATGTAAACGAGGTTCAAAAGGACTGTCAATTTTTCTTTTGATATATTCTCCCGATTTAGTTAATTGACAGCCATCGCAGAAGAAGGATTTAATTGGTTGTTCTTGGTTATTGTCCTTATTTTTTGCTTGGTTTTGGAGGCTTTCAATAGTTTTCTCTTGCTCGTTGATTTTTGTTTGTAATTTCTTTATATTCTCCTGTAAAAGATTATTTTTTTGTTGTTCTTCCGACTTTTTGTTATTCAGACTTTTTTCTCTTATTTTCTGATTGGCTTCTTGGAGAGCCTTTTCTAATTCTGTTTGAGTTTTAGTAGGTTTTATTTTTTTTATCTCCTCTTTCAAATTATCATTTTCAGCCGTTAGTTTTTGTAAACTTTTTAAATAATTAGCAGCCGTATTGGACCAGTATTTAACCTGTCCTTGAAGTTCTTTTATTTGCTTATTTTCTGATATCCTTATGGGCGGTGGTAAATTATCCTCCTGGGTAGGTTTTAAAGGGGGAGTTGGGGGTGGAGTAGGAATGCCGTGGATGAATTGTGTAGAATTTCCCTCGAGTTTTTTCTTTTTCAAGTCCGAAAGTTTTACTCCCTCCTTAATTTTTTCTTTTAATTCTTGTTGAAATTCTTGTTTATTTGTCATTGCCGTTTAATTTTTCCTCTAATTTCTTAACTTTCTCCTGTAATCGTTCATTCTTTTTCTCCACTTCTTCAATCCTTTTTAACTCTTTACCATTTTTCTTTTCCAATTGCTCGGTTCTTTTGGTTAGTTCAATTTGTTGCTTTCTCCATTTCAGATTATAGCCTAACAGCATTGAAAATAAGAGAGTGAAGGCTCCGATTAGGAATAAACACAAGTGATATCAATTTTGACAGTTTTCCATATTATTTTTTCTCAATTAAAATTTCCTTTACTTTCTCGGACTGTTCGGTTTCTTTTTGTTCCGACTTTTCTTCTTCCAAATTTTCCATTTCTTCCTCCATAATCATTTCAGCCTGGTGTTCCCCTAAACTGCCATAACTTAAAATATGTTTGCCATCACAGCCTCCTTTATTCTCAAAATCTTTAATACTTTTCATTCTTTCCCTTTGTTTATCTCGTTCAAGGGCTAAAAAAGGGGCCTTAATCATGTCTATTTCTGGATTATTTTGCCTTTCTTCTTTGGCTTGGATATTGTGCCTAATCCCGTAAACTTCTTTTAGTTCGGAATAAACTTCATGGTAATCCTTATGTAATTGCTCTCGTTCTTTATTATTCACGGCTGAATAAACTTCGTGGTCCTTAATACTATTGGTAATATCAGGGTCGTAAATATTAAAGATATAATCATTTTCTCATTGGTCTATCTTATAGGATTTGTCTTCTCCATCTACTTTTTGTTCTACTCAATTAATTATCTTTTTTTTGGAGGCTTTTTGGTCCCATTTTATTTTTTCTTTGGTTTCTCATAAATCCTCTAAATAAATAGTTTCAGCATCTTCTAAATTGGGTCTTTTAGCCGAATTATTAAAAAAGAGAATGATTTCTTCATCCTTTAAAAATATTTCTTTTTTTTCCTTTTCTTTGGGTTCCTTATAATCCTTGGGCTTGGTTCTTTGTATTTTCCCACTTTTAAATTGGATTTCAATATTTTCGTAAGTTCCTAAATCATTCTCTTCATACTTAATTAAATCCACTACTACTCATTTATCTTGGCTAATTTTATAAAAAGAACACTTGCCTTTTTTGCTTTGTTTTTTCTCTATTTCTCCTCAATTATAGACTAAGGGACAATCAGGATTAGAGCAAGACAAATGAGAAATGCCGATAAAACAGTTATGGAGATATTCTAATATCTGGGCTTGTCATAAATCTTTTTGAGTAGGTTTTTTATTCATGAGATTGTTGCTTTTTTAACTTTCTTTTTTGTTTTCGGGAGAGGATGGGGGTTTCTTTAATTTCAGTCTCTTGGTTATTATCTGATATTCTATTTTCGTCTCTCTCTCTCTCTCTCTCTACAAAGTAATCGTATAATTCTCCTAATATTTTCTCAATTTCAGCACGACCCCAAGGAATAGTAGCCTTTTTTATTTGGTCTTTTAATTGGATAAAAAGTTCTTGGGCTTGGCTGAATAATTCTTGTTTAAGTTGGGGTAAATTGTCATCCTTTCAATTATTTTTTTCTTGTATTTCCTGCTTCAATTGTTCTTTTTCTTTTTTTAATTGTTTAATTTCTTCATCTTTCACAACTAATTTGGCTCGTATTTGTCTATTTTCTTTGGTTAAATCTAGTGTGTATCCCTCATATTTTTTTCTCTCTTGGCTTCATTGTTCGTTCGGTTGTCAGCCTCCGTTATTCTTAATCAATTCACTCCGAGTTGGTATGGCTTCATCCAAAAACATACTT